CACATTTTCGACTTCTTCTCAAGAACCGCTGAGCCAATTTCAACCAAACTTGCCACAAAGTATCCTTGCGTGAAGGGGATTCAAGTTTGTTCAAATGAAGGGCCACGCCCTCATTCAAGGGGAGATAATTGGGAATTAATGAAAATTTGGTGGCACATTTTAAAAATCTTCTTCTCAAGAACCACTGTGCCAGGAAAGATGAAACTTAAGGGGAAACATCCTAAGGTAGTGTAGATTCAAGTTTGTTCAAATTATGACCCCGGGGGTAGGGCGGGGCCAAAATGGCCCACCAAACTTTTACATAGAAATATATAGGAAAATTCTTTAAACATCTTCTCAAGAATGACAAAACCATAATTCATCATATTTATATGGAAGCATGTTCAGGTAGTGTAGATTCATGTTTGTTCAAATCATGACTCCCCGGGGTAGGGCGGGGCCAAAATGGCCGACCAAAGTTTTTAAAGATATACATAGAAAAATCATTTTCTAAAAAATAGCAAATCCATGATTGGTCATGGGACTACTTTTGGATTTAAACTTTACAATAAAAAGCCATTTCCTTTTTCCTACCCTTAGTGCTCAGGTGAGCAATGTGGCCCATGGGCCTCTTGTTTATCTTGATCACACTGGAATGGCATTGTCAGGGCCATAAAACATGTAACCCTCTGGTCATAAACAATCTCGACACTAATTGGAGATTATATTACGTAATTAAGTTTTCAAACCATTTCAGCAGTTTAGTTTTTCTGTAAAAAAAAAATTAAACGCAGAACTAACAAACTTTATACTTTTCAGCAAAGATATACCTATTTAAGAATATTGAATTGACCAAAGATACCTGTTCAAAGCTGCAATCTCATTATTGAAAAAATGTTAAGAAATTGGTCCATTTTTTTTCGATTGCAAAAAAAAAACATCCTCATGAAGTATAAACAGTCAGTGAGTGAAAATTGACAAGGCAAATACATTGAAAATGTCTCCAATAGAAACTATCATACAACAAGACGCCAATAGGCCTGATAGATCACCTGAGCATCATACACGAACTTTAAAACAATTGAATTTAGTTCGTATTTTACACCAGAGGCCATGAAATTCACAATTTTGAAAAAGGCACTATTACTTGTCATAACTTTACACTTCGCATGCTTTCTTTATATATTAGTTTCACAATTTTGGTAGAGGACTCAATGCTGATTACTATCATGCCAACAGTTTGACAGCTTAATGTCCAGGAGTAAAGAAGAAGATTTTTAAAAATTGCATTAATATTAGTGGTTTTGGCCCCACCCCTCATGCCCATGAGATTATGAAATTCAAAATTGTTGTTCCCCTTCACCCAAATTTGGTTAAAATTGTTAAGTGGTTGCAAAGTTCTAAGAAGCTGAAAATGTTCAAATGTTAACGCACGACAACGAACGAAAACAACGCTTACTCTGGTGACCTAAAATATAATACTCAAGATAAATCAAGATAAAGTTAACCTTTTATCAAATACAAACATACATGTTTTATTTCTTCTTTTCGTTCAAAACCTGCCTCATTTGGAGGTTACCATGGTTACATTTGTATGTATACATGTAAAACTGCCGAGCTATTGTGATTAATAATTCATTTTCAAAATCGTTCACAGAGAAACAAATCGAAGAAACCGTGCTTGAAAGTGAGCATTAATCATTAATAAAAGACATCAGTTTTAACAGTGTGAAGTATTCTCTTCAAAGTGCTATATTTTTTTTAATCGTCGATAAGATGAATAATAATGAACCTTTGAAATAGACAACATGAAAGGGTTTTATCAAGCCGTAAGCACATTCTCTGTTGAAAATCGTTATTTAATTTAATCTTTAAGATACCTTACACAAGAGGGACACGGGCAATGACGCTCACCTGAGTAACTTTAGCTCTATTGTTCTTTACCAGATCTCCCCTTGTAATACCATTAAAGGAATTATTTAGCGGAAATGGATTTTTAAACAAGTTCACTCAAATTAGATTAAGCGCTATCTGAATGTGCTAGCAATAACATTTTATATACAAGGCATTTTACGGTAAACTTGCTTTAGCGGACTTTTCTTTCCACCAAAATCGCTAAATAGAATACATCCCTTAATGTAATACGTTTACAGTACCTACCACACCCTGGGTGTCAAAATTTGAATAACTTAGAAAATACTCTTTCATAGAATGATTCCACACACTTTTCAGTCCAAAAAATGTTTAAAGAATTATACAAAATGTTATTATCACACCTTCAGGTCTAGATTGTCATTTCGTCTCTTTACAGACTGTGGGATTCTGAACGTGCAGAATACTACGTGGAATGTACAGGACTGGGATGGAATAGGAATCTATCAACAATTCCACATTAAATGCTCCGATTCCCAGCTTCAGCGAGGATCAGGAAAGTTTTTGTGTCTTGAAAATGGGACGTGGATACTATATAAATATTATTAATATTTATCATTGGGTTCACGATCAGTCTCGTGCTGCATTTAATTCATGTTCCAAACGAGGTTGTCATTTGAAAAAAAATATTAATTTACTGTTGTGAGTAAAGTCTCTCATTTTTATCAAAAATACCTTATTGTACTTGATTTTTGTCCGACGTTTTCATGCATCAATTGATGCATACACAATTGTTCGTTAAGGTATATAAACTATACATTCACCTAGTTTGTGACTTAAGGTGGAATGCCACACCAACTTTTTATTTTATAGATCTTTGAGTCATCCTTTTAAAACAAGGGTTTTAGCATTGAAAAGTCGATATTAGCTCTGAATTATTTTATATGAATTTTTTTGTATTTTTTCATAGAAAATAAAAAAAAATTAATTAAATTCAACTAAGATGTTTTTGAGATAAAAGTTTGCTGTAAATGAATGTATCATATTAATATCTAATAAAATATGTAAAGAAAGGATTGTTAGACTTTTAAATTTTTCTTATCAAAAAATATTTATGAAAAAAAAAACAAATTATTTGAGAATATTTTTAAACCTATGGTTAAAATCACTATAAAACTAGTCACAACTGAGGACAACATGTTTGTCAATCATATTTTTAAAAGAAATTGAAACGAAATTGAGAAATTTTATAGAAATTGATTTATTTAATATTTGGACCTAACCCGAACAAAATTAAACTGATCCCAATCAAAAATAATACAAAATTAATAAAATCTAATTTACTGTATTTACAATGAATAAATCTATTTTATTGTCATGTTTATTAAGGTTTTAATCCTTACAGTGCTGCTATCCTATAAGTTGACAATTCTATCCTATCCTATCGTGAATCCTGCATCCACAATCCTATCCTGTGATTTCAGTCTAATCCTATCCTATCCTATCCTGCAACTCTCAGTTTTTTAATATTTAGGAATTAATTTGACAAAACGAAAAAAAAGGAATTACCAGGAAAAAAATCAGACATAGTTTTGGTATTCATTTAAATGTTATAAATTTTAATGGAAAAAAATAATCGAGATCGGCATTCCATAATTCCCGACTCGCCGCACAAATTAAATTTACGATTATCATTGCCATGTTAAAAATAAATGTTAACAAACAGGTCGTAATTACGTGGACAAGTACTGATTTTGCGAACATATGTAAAGAAATTGGGCTACCAGAAGAATTAAAGAAAAAAATATATACTTAGTGTTTTAATTTTCCTACGAACAATGATCGGGAGACCCGGGATCGCGACTTGCGTCCGACGTATTATTATTAATTATTTTTAAAAATCATAGGCCTATACGGTAAAAATGTTTAAGTATATGTTTCATGTAAAAAATTTATTTTTGCCTAAACTGAGCAACATGAAAATAACATGCATGTACATGTATCTATAGTTTAACTGTGCCTGCATAACAGGTTTTTCTGTATGCAATTCTCAAAAAGAAGATCTGACAAGACCATAAACCAAACAAAATGTAGGTCTAGAATATTTTGACTTTCACATATTAAACATTTTAAATGTGAAATTGTTTTATAATATCAAATATTAAATGTATGATTTTTATTTAAATTCATAATTTATTCTTTTTTAAAATTTCAGTTCATCATTTGTCGTATGTGATATTTTTCAAACATGCAAAATATATAGTTGCTAAATAAAATTCAAGATGATCAAAATGTTTTTTTTTTCATTTAACTTCAGTTTCTTCTCAGTTTATGGTCAGCTCAGTGTCATACAAATGTATTTCAATTTCCTATTTTGTTTTATGTGTGAAAATTTAATAATTTATGTTTAATAGAATATATTTTCTAAATTTGATATTGGTTGACAGATTGACAGTATATAAATATTGCATGTAGTTGAGTGTAACATTGAAAATTTTCACCCCAAGATAACCATTGTCAACTGAGGCCCAGCCGAGGTTGACAATGGTTTTCGAGGGGTGAAAATTTTTAATGTTACACTCAACTACATGCAATATTTATTATATTATACTGAATGTTTTATATAAATACATATTACAGTGAACCGTGCGCGCATAAATTCTGCGCAGTCACTATTTTTTGTAATACCACCCGTTGTCAAGCAATGTTGACTGTTGCAATGCAGGAGGGCATGGCGTCATTATTCAGCAGGTAGTAGTGCTTTTTATCAAATGTTTCTCGACGAATCAGATTCAAGTAATTTACATGAAAGTATAACAATAATAAATATTGTAGTGAGGTCACACATGTTCCTAAGATCTTATAAAACATGCAAGAGAAATTCAGAATTCACAGTATTTACAGTATTTATAATTCATTCTTGAGTAAAGAAAGTTTGTATTTGACCTTGGCATTGGATCTTGAATCTTAATCAGTGTCTGATTGAAAAATATTAATATGCTCCACACATATTCCTTAGATCTTATAAACATGCATAAGAATTCACAGTATGTATAACACATTCTTGAGTAAACCTTTTATTTGACCTTGACATTTGATCTTAAAATTATCAGTGTTTAAATGAGAAAAAAAACTTTCATCAAGTACACAATATTTTTATTCAAGGTGATTCCTCAACAATGTTTAACAATTGAATATTCCATTACCATGAGACAAAGTCATTAAAAGTATCCATGTACAGCATTTATGGATTTTAATTCAAAGATCACAGATACATGTACATGTACATGAACTTTGTTTAAATTTAAGTTTATCAATGTTTTTATTACCGTAGTATAATGTTTTACATGCATTTAATTTGACTTTTTTATTCGACGCTCAAATTGAAATTCAAATGTCATAGTTATTGTCAGAGAGATGGTCATAAACTGAACAGTTCCACAAATGTCAACAATGCACAGAAAACATACACTGATCTCCTTAATAAAAGCACCATGATTTCAGTCTTAGGAATCTTTGACACTGGTTTGAACATCTTTCATCATTTACTCTAACAGCATATGGCATGAAGTGCATTCTGCACAGCTGCAAATCTGCAGGGTTTCCTGAAGAAAAAAAAATCACATAATTATAGGCATGTAGATTGTAAATTTTGTCATACACATTTCATACACATTTAAAATGTTTTTGATTGTGATTATCTTTCACATTTCATGTACAATTGGCTTTAATTTCACCTTTTTCTTTCAAAAAAATAATGCATTTAGAAATCATGAAAAATAAAATCTTATACTGCAACCTCAGTCATATTAAATTAAGAAAAAAAATCTTATTTAAGATAATTTACTTGTACATTATAATTCATTTTATCTTGTCAACTTGCTAACAAGTATGAATACATTTGTTTTAGTGACTTTTCTCTATTTTCTCTTTGTATTTATCTATTTAATGTTTTTTCTTGGTTTTCTTTTTTTTGGTCTTGAAATTTGAATATGTAAAAGAAGAAGAAAATATCTATGTAACAGCAGCATGATGACCAGAAAAATTCAATATTTCTTTCAGTCTAACTCTCAAGATTTTTGAAAGAAGAAAATCACTTGTTCCGAGAAACTGCAGACATGTCACCTCAAAGCAGATAATTATGTTTCTATAGTTGAATGACCATTTAAAAATACATGATAAAAATAAAATCATACATACTTTTTAGATTAAAATCCTTTATACTGTGATGACGCATGATGACACATGAGTGCAGGCAAATCCATCACTGTAATGATGAATATTGAAAGATTAACTTATGTTTCATAACTCACAATACATCATACATACATGTACAATATGTAAGTGCACTGCTGAGTGAGCTTATTAAACATTTCAGCAGTAGCATTAGAAATGGTCATGATGATTCTACATTAATTTATTATAAGTTACACTGAAATGAAACAATTAAGGAAATAATAAGATTAATAAACTGATTAAGGCATAATACATATGATTGTTTTAGTCTTAGAGCTCATTGATAGCTAATTGAATCATATGACAGAGTAACGGGGGTATTTGTAAATATTTTATCCCCCCTTCTGTCTACACTAGTTCTTTTTTCCGCACGTAATTTTTGTTTATATTAAATAGAATAAAATGTTAATATTTTAAGACACGAGAACATTGTTTTGAGGGATTAATAAGTATAAAAATGCAAACATGTACAGTGTGTAGTATACTTACATGAACTCGCACATCATCTATTCAAGTCCGCTGTTGACGGTTCCTGTGGAATTATCCAAACAAACAGAGCATATTTAACAGAAAACATGTTAAAACACTTTTACACAAGTAAGAATCGGTTAAATCATCCAAACAAGCTGAAGAAATACGGTCTTTCGATGTCTGAACTCTTCGTTGTTTACATTCCCAAATCTTCCGGTGATCGTTCACGGTTAGATCGTACGCCGTGTTACTCGAAGTTTATAATGTAAATCTGTGTTTTGAGAAAATAATGTTTTATTTTCTATTGAAATTTTATGAATATTTCTTTTGTAAACATTTTATATCGTATTTCGTTTTTGTAATTTATTCTGATATATGAATGAACCTTTGCTCGAATCTGATTGGCTGTAGGATACAGGATAGGATAGGATAGGATAGGATTGGATTAACTTTTATATGTTTCTATCGTGAATCCTCAATCCTGAATCCTATCCGATCCCATCCCATGTCAACTTGTGGGATAGCAGCACTTAATCAGACTAGTGTTCTTGGGGAAATGTATTTATTTCCAATAAATATACAATTATGGTTGGGATCGGTTTAATTTTAACCACAAATTTAAAAAATATTCACAAATTATGTGTTTTATTTTCATAAATATTTTTTATTTTAAAAAATTTCATATCTATACAACTTTTCTACACATATTTTATAAGATATTAATGTGATGCATTGATTTACAGCGAAAATTTTACAAGAAAGCATCTTATTTTGATGGAAATAATTTTTTCCATTTTCTTTGAAATAATACAAAAAAATTCATATAAAATAATTGAGAGCTAATGCCGGCCTTTCATTGCTGAAACCATTGTTTAAAAAGGTTGACTCACAGATCTATAAAATAAAAATTTGGTGTGGCATTCCTCCTTAAGTTTTGATAAGATGACTCATAGTGGGAAGAGAATGTCCACTGAGCTTCATTTAAAACATAAATTCGCCAGTCAATTAGATTTTTGCAGAAGCATAAAAATTTGAAAACATTAAAATTTCTAGTGCAAATGTGTGTATCATTTTGGCTTTTGGTATATATTATGTTTATAAAAATATTATATATGTGTGTTAACCGTTGGTGAAAAATGGTCTGCATATAACTGTCACAAATAAGTTTAAGTAATGCCACAAAATGAAACATATCGATCCAGAAATTTAACGAAAAACTTGCATCATATTACCCAAATGACTTTGTTCTGTTTCAGATCTACCTACAAACTGTAAAAACCTCCATGAGTATGGTGAGAATAATTCGGGTGTGTACCAGATTTTCCCTTATGGATCCCGAGCCCGACCTGCCAGAGTTTTCTGTGATATGTACACTATGGGAGGCGGGTGGGCGGTATTTTTCTTTTGTGACATGCATTTATTTTTTTTTCTGTTTCATTCAGGAGGTTTTTAAATGAAAAATATACAATTTGCCAATCCTTGTCAAATAATATTGAATAAATGTATTATATTTGGAAGGCAATACAAAAACGTGTAAAAGGATCTGTGAGCTTTGATAGAACATGGGACGAATATAGAAGAGATTCGGTGACGCGGGACTGGATTTCTGGATCGGTAATTAATAACATATTTTTGATCTTATTCATTTTTATGATCATTGAAAAATCAAACATCCGCTATTTGTAAATTGTATATAATATTAAGCAGTTTTAATTCGAATGTACAGATGAAATTTAATTCAAGAGGCGGGGAGAAAATAAGATAAAACTTTAAGAACAATCAAAACGAAGACACTCGTCTCTGATGATTGAATCAATTAACCTTCTTGTCTGACACTTCAGGTTTCAAAGTTTGCCCCTCCTAAGCGAATCATTTATATTCATTTAAATTGGAATAGATGTATATTTAATCAAGTTTGATTTTTCTGTTGCATAGGAAATGACGTCATCCACCAGTTAAAAAGGGAAATATCTCAAATCTCTACATTTCCATCACTCTGGTTAACGGCAGCAAACTATACGAGTTGTACGAACAGTTCTCGGTTTCAAACGAAGCAGATAACTATCAACTCTTTCTTGCGGGGAGGGCCTCTGGAACCCTAGGTACTTG